ACCTCTTTAATGAAATATATTCCATAGCTTATCAGTACTCGTATTGATAAATGTTACAGATTCTTGAAAGGGCTTAGAGATTCAATGAGAAAGCCTCTAATCCCTCTACACATAAAAAATTTTGGTTAACTAGTTAAAAGTGAAAGAATTTCAGAGCACGACATGGATATGGAGAAGCATGAATTAGAGATTAGAAGTAAAAAGAGTCCATATGATATTTAAGGTGGTCAAACTAAAAGCAAAATTTTATTAGGGTCAATAACAACAACGAATAGGATTCTATGTGATACTAGTTGTGTAAATTATGGAATGTCACATTCAAGAAAATACTTATTGAATTCAATAACATATTTTTTTTTGTGGAGAGCTAGGCCATATCAAAAGAAATTTCCTGAGAATTGTTCAGGGAGCTAGAGAACAAAAAGGTGTTGAGAGGATAGAGTAATATAGTGGTGTTAAGCCACAAATGATTAAACTAGGTTTAAAGATAAAAGGATAAGCATCCGGGGAAGCTTTGATATCAGCATTGGCCTAAGTTTTTGTATTAACCTCTTAAAAGGCTAAGGAGTCTTTGGAAGTTATGGTATGTATGAGATTTCAGACTTACCTGCTAAAGTACTTTTTGATTTTGGTGCATAACACTCTTTTATTTATAAAATATTTTGTGAGAAACTACATTGAAAACATGTTATTTTTACTCCCGGTAAGAATGTTCAATTACCTATGGGAGATTATTTATGTGCTAGTGCTTCATGTTCAGTTAACCTTATGATAGCTGGTAGGAAATTCCAATCAAATTTAATTATGTTACCTTTAGTTGACTTTGAAGTAATTATGGGTATAAATTGGTTGATTAAATACTTTGCCACTATTGAATATTGGAAGGAAAGAGATAGGTTTGATTTTCCTGGAGTAGAGATATTTTATTTTAAGTTTGATAAAAGAGCAATTTCTTCATTGATTTCTACTAGTCAGATAAATAAAAGTATGAGAATAGGAGACTTGATTTTCTAGAAAAGTTAGAAGCTTGCAAGGGGGCAACTGATGATATTAATTTGATTCATGTATTGGATGAATTTTCAGATATTTTTTGAAGGAGTTGGATAGTTTGCCTCTAGAAAGAGAAGAGGAGTTTGTAATAAATATTCCACCACAAATAAACCCCCATAGTAAAAACACCTTATAGAATGAAAACTAAAGAATTATTGGAATTAAAAAGTTAGTTAACATAATTAATTGAAAGGGGATTAATCAGACCTAGTTCAAATCATTGGAGTGCACCAATATTATTTATTGAAAAGAAGGATGGTTTAATACAACTATGTATTGATTATAGGGAGTTGAACAAGATGACAATTAAAAATAAATATTCTCTCCCTATGATCAATGATTTATTTGATCAGTTAGTAGATGCATGCATATTTTTTAGAAATGATTTAAGATGTTGCTCCCATAAATTCAGAGTGAAAGAAGGAGATATCGAGAAAATAGCTCTTGGTACTAAGTATGGGCCTTATGAATATTTTATGCCATTTTGACTAACAAATGCCCTGGTTATATTTATGGATATGATAATAGAATTTTTATGCCTTATATTAATATTTTGTAATTATTTTTATAGATGATATTTTAGTTTACTTTAAGAATAATGATGAACATGCTGATTATTTGAGAATTATTCTAGGGTTACTGAGGAAACACAAACAATTCACTAAGTTTTCTAAATGTGAATTTTGGTTGAGATAAGTTTCCTTCTTGGGAATCATTATTAGTGGTGAAGGTATATTAGTGGATCTATAAAAGGTAAAAGCAATGGAACAATGGTAAAAACCCACTAATATGAACAAAGTTAGGAGTTTTTTGGGATCAACTATTATTATAGAAGATTTTTAAAGGGTTTTTTCCAATTTACTTTAACTTTATCCATGTTGACATGAAAGGATGTTAAATCAAATGGATTGATGAATGTGATCTAAGTTTTTTTAGAACTAAAGAAATGTTTAACATCTACACCAATACTAGCAATTCCAACTGGAACTGAGAGATTCCAATTATATAATGATGCTTCTCTAAAAGGGTTAGTTGTATTTTAATGCAAAATAAAAAAGGTGATTGTGTATGCTTTCAGATAGTTGAAACCTCGTGAAAAGAATTATCCCAAACATGATTTAGAGTTGGATGTAGTTTTCTTCGCCTTAAAAATTTGGAGACATTATTTATATGAAGTGAGATGTGAATTATTCATAGATTATAAAAATTTTAAGTACATTTTTACTTAGAAGGAATTGAATTTGAGACAAAGAAGATGGACGGAATTGATTGAAGTTTATGAGAAGGCTAATGTTGTGGCTGATGCCTTAAGGAAAAAATTTAAAGAATAAGGAATTTATATCTTAACTCAAGAAGAAGTTTTGATTAAGAACTTGGAAGCATTATAGTTAGAAGTCAGAATACATAGTAGTCATGAGTCAGGTAGCTTAAATCAGGTGACTATTCATCCTTCCTAGGAAGAAAGAAATAGTTAGGCTCAAAAGAATAGTGCTGAATATCAAAAGTTTATTCAGAAATGATAAGCAGGCAAAAGAAAGTATCTCAGTGCAGATGTTTAAGGAAAAATCAAAAGTAATATGCACTTGTAGATACCAAACAAATCAAACCTGACTTAAGGAGATTTTACATGAAGCCCACATATCATGTTATTCAATCCTTCTAGGAAGCACAAAGTTGTACAAAGATTTAAAGTCATTATTTTATTGGCCTAGAATGAAGAGCTAAATTGAAGAATACTTGATGAAATATGAGAAATATCAAGTTGTTAAGGTTGAACATCAGAAACTAAGTGGTAAGTTACAATTCTTGTTAATACCAAAATGGAAGTGGGAAGACTGCATTTGGGTTGTGACTTATAGATTTAAAACATTAGCACACTTCTTTCCTATATATAAAACTGATTAAGTGGAGAAATTAACAAAATTATTTTTGAAAAAAAAAACATTAGATTACATGGAATTTTGAAGGTTATTGTATCTAACAAAGGTGGTCTTTTCACATCTAAATTATGGAAGGGAATTCATGAAAGTTTATGCACAAAATGACATTTCAGTATAATAATTCACCCTCATATAGATGGACATTCATAAAGAATGATTCAAGTGTTAGAAGATCTATTGAGATTAAACATTTTAGATTTTAGAGGTAATTAGGAGGATCATATCCTACTGATAGAGTTTGCCTATAATAATTGCTACCATTCAAGTATCAAGATGTGCCATATGAGGCATTATATGGTAGGAAATGTAGAATTCCTTTCAGTTGGGTTGAAATTTGAGAAACATAACTATTAGGTTCATAGTGAGTTGATCAAGCTATTGCTAAAGTCAAATTAATTAGAGACTAATTAAAATCCACTCATGATCAATAATAGAAGTACCATGATCCCAAGAATAAAATGATATAATTTGAGGCAGGTGAATTTAATTTTTAAAAGGATAAACCAATAAAGGGCATTTCTAGATTTTTTCTGGGTTGAAAATTGAATCTAATATATATTGGCCCCTTTGAAATAATTGAAAGAGTGGGAAATGTCACATAGAAATTTACACTACTTGTAGTTATGTTAAATGCACATAATGTTTTTCATGGATAAATTATAAGTTTGTGGATCATAGATGAAAAGAAAAGAGCCCCATAATATGAAATTTAGCTATAGAATAATTTGACCTATATAGAGGAGCCTGAAAAGATCATAGATAGTATTGTTCAGAAATTGAGAAGTTGAATCATATCTTATGTGAGAGTCAAATGGAAGCACATATTAGTGGAGGAGATAGATATGAGGTTAAAGTTTCCTGACCTTTTTGAGAAACTATAAAAAGTTGAATTTAAGAGATGAAATTGTATAAAGGATGGAAGAATTGTAATACCCAAAAGATTTAGGTAGAAATACCAATTTTTATTTCTATCTGGAATTAGTAATTTCAACAAAAGGGTATTGAAATTATCACATTAATTAACCTTTAGTTAAATTTAATATTATAAATTTATTTAGATTTTATTATTTGCAACAAATTTAAATATTAAAAATGAAGTTCTATTAGATTGAGTGAATTCTTGCCATGAGTGTAGAGGGCTTTAATTAGTTAAGTATATAATAGAGGAAGGAGTAAACAGCAAGAAGAAGAATAAGAAGAGAATGAGGAAACTCTTAGGGAATAAAGGTAAACATTATTATTATTTTTATTTAATGGTTATCTTGTGAATTTGTAAATATTGATAAAGTTGCTAAAGGAACTTATACCATAATTATGTTTTTAGGATAATTTTTATTTGGTATATGAAATGAGGATAATCTGGTTGCTAGGTAAGTTGCTAAAGGGGATGTAATGATTGTATTAAATTCTTTTAAAAAATGAATGGTAGAAATTTGGAAAGTAAGAATTATGAATTATGTAAGTAATTTATAAGCAAAAAGATTTAAAGATTCTGAATTCGAGGAGGCAACTTGATAAGGGGATAAGAAATGCAATTTAAGTTAAAGAAATAAATGTTATCATTTCTAGACCTGTAGAGATGCATTTAACCAAAAATGAAGGATAAAAAGGAAAAAAGTTTCTTCTATTTGTTAAGTACTGCATCTGCAGTTAAACAATCAGGTTTGAACGACCACATATAAACTTTAATTATTTAAGCTTTCAATGAGCTATTCTATGTTTAGATGAATGTCTTCCTAAATGAAAATATTTTGAAAAGAAAAACACTGAGTTTTATGTTGCTTCTTTGTGTTATTCTATAAATAGTTGGGATATTATTTTTGTAAGAGAGTTCAATCATTTATATAATTTTAGTACTTTTTAGAGTACTTCTCTAATGGGATATCAAACTTCCGGTTTGAAATCTAGAGAGAGAAAGTTTCCCGCATGGTTTGAACTTGGGTTTCGAGGGTTTTCCGCGATCGAAGGTGCTTGCGCCAGTGGTTCGCCGGCGTCTTCCTGCCAGTTTCGATGATTGCTCCACGATCATCTGGCCCTCTTCGATCCAATGATAGAGGATCATCTGGAATTGTGATTAGAGAAGGTTTTAAGCCTTTGATTCGTCAAGAACATATTGATGGCAAGGGGAAAAACGTGGTGGTAGATGAGTTGGATGCGCAAAAGAAGATGAATGGAAAATGCATTTTAGGTTTGATGAATCTTGAATCTTCGGCTTATGAGAATTTGGTTTTACGGGTGAGAAATTTTTCTAAGGTTCTTGACGTATAAAAAGGGCGGAGTACTGAGGATGGCTCTGTTTCTTTGGAAAGTCAAAAGGATGATTCGTTGAAATGCATTGGTGAAGTTGCTGAGGCTTGGTTGAAACCGAAGCCTATCAAGATTACGTTCGACAGAGACCATATGGAATTTTCTGAGGATGGTGTGGCGGTCAAGTTGAATGCGGAGAGGGATTTAGAGAATTCTAAAGTATTGAAGAATTCGATTGTACTTAAAGTACTGGGGAATAGTGTGCCATTTCCAGTTTGCAGTTCGGAGCTGAGAAGACAGTGGAACATTTACAGCAAATTTCATTTAACTTCTATTGGATTGGATTGGATTCTATGTTAGTTCAATTCAGGTGAGGTGGTCGATGAAATTCTGAATGGAGGGCCTTGGTATGTGAATGGACTCAGCGTTGGTATGGATAGATGGACTCCTGCATTTGATCCGAAATCATTTAAAGGTATCTCTGCCCCTGTGTGTGGATTAGATTGCCTTGCCTACCGTTGTATTGTTAGGATGAAGAAAGCATAGCAAGAATTGCTTCTTGCTTTGGATCACCAATGTATGTGGATGGTAATACATTCCGTTGGAGTAAACGTCAATTTACCCGTGTTTGTGTAAGGATTGATTTGGAGAAAAAACTTTTGAATGGTGCGTGGGTTGAAAGTTCTGCTGGGAGGTTTTTCCAACGGGTGGAATATGAAAAAATTGATCTTCTGTGTTATCAATGCAGAAGAGTAGGCCATGACAAGAAGATATGTCCGGATAATGCACTCTAGTGATGAAGGATCAAACGTTGAAGAAGATGGATGCATATAACGGGCAAGGAAAATTGGCTGGACATGACAGTAAAAACTCTGTGGTTAGTACTGAGTATGGCCCCTGGATTCATGTCCAATTAAAAAACAGACGGTTTAGAAGAGACATTGCCAATAATAAAGGTGTAAAGGATAACGGGAGTAAGCCAGAGCATAGAGTTTTTGATAACCAGCAGGTTATGCAGTCAGAGGAAATCCAGTTGAGAGCAAAGGCTGATTTTAATGCTGATCTAACAGGTAAAGTTCCAGGGATGGATCCAAACTCAGAAAAGGATTCTGAAGCAGAGATTTGTGTTCAATCATCAAATCGGTTTGCTGTTTTGGTTGAGAAAGAGGGAGGAGAAATTCTGGGAACTCTGTAAGTAACGTTAAACTGGTGGACAAAGGCCTGGAAATAATTGATTCAGAGGTGAGTCATATTGCATTGAATTCTAATAGTGGTGATGTCAAGGTTAAGCTAGCCAAGGAATTGAAATCATTGAGACCTATTGAGAGTGATTATCAAAAAAAGAAGAAGAGGAATGGAAGGTTGAACCCCAGTAGTGGGGAGAGATCCTCTATACCTTTTTAAATTATGTCTTTAATTCTATTTTGGAATTGCAGGGGAGCAAGGAAGAAGGAGGCTTCCTTGTATCTTAAGGAAATGGTTAGATATGAAAATTTCTTCTTTATTGGGCTTATGGAGACTAAGTTGTCTAGCATTGATAGAAAGGAGGTTGATTGTCTTATGGGGAATGATTGGGATAATTTTCACCAACATGCTGTTGGGACTTCTGGAGGTATTTTGGTACTTTGGAAGGTAAAGTTGGTGTCATTTGAAGTTTGTGAAACTTCTTCACAGGTGATTATTGATAATCTCTCGGTTCCTAGCTTGGGAATTTGGAAGATTGCTACTGTTTATGGCAGTCGTTGTTGCAAGGAGAGGAGTGGCCTTTGGAATCAGTTGGAAAAGTGCATGGAGAACTCTACTCCTTCTATTATAGGGGGGGGGGGACTTTAATTGCATTTTAAATAAGGATGAGAAGAGAGGAGGTAAGAGGTTCTTATTTTCTAAAGGACCTAGAGAAATGAAAAGCTTCATGGTGAATTCAAATTTTTATGATATTGGTAGTGTTGGGCCAAGATTCACGTGGTGTAACAACAAAGAGGGAAATTCTCGGATATTGGAAAGATTGGACATATGTATAATGAATTCTGTGGCTATGCAGAAGCTTCCTTTGATAGTGAATAGACATCTGGCTAGGATGGCATCTGATCATTGTCCTATTGTGATTAAGATGGATGAAAGGATGCGGTTTAAGTCGAAGACCATTAAGTTTGAAGATACGTGGAGATCCTATCCTGCGGCTAAGAGCATTGTTTATCATTCTTGGAAGAAGAATGATGTTGGTGATGAATATACGATTTTATAAAGGAAGCTTAATCGTACCTTGAAAGCTTTATTTTTTTTTTGGAGCAAAAACAAATGCAAAGACCTGAATGTGTTAAAAGAGAAACTGAAGAAGGAGATCCTTGATTTGCAAAATAAGGAAGCATTGAATATTAATTGGTCTGCTGAAAACCTTTTTGAACTTAGAAACAAAGTACATGAACTCAATGTTACATTGAGAAGACTTTCTACTTGGTGGAACCAAAGAGCTAAGGCTAGGTGGCATGAGGAAGGTGATGCAAATTCCAAACTTTTTCATAGCTTTGCCACGGCTAGAAGGAATGGAAATCATATTTTTCAAATCAAAGACGAAGCAAACAAGCTGAATGAGGAGGAGGATCAAATTGAGAAGGCTTTCACAAGTTTCTTTAAGAAGAAATAGAAGCATAGGGAATGTGAGGTAACGGGCTGGCCATTAGTTATGGAAAATCAGAAGTTAACTGTTGAGGATATGGATATGTTTAATGCTGAATTTACTATGAATGAGCTGCAGATTTTGGTGTTTCAGCAAGGGAACAACAAGGCTCCATGTTTGGATGGCATCACTTCCTCCTTCTACAAGAGTTATTGGAACATTGTATGTGAAACTCTATGGAATGCTGTAAGAAGTTTCTTTAATTCCAGTCATATGAATAAGGAATGGAAAGACACATTGATTGTCTTAATTCCTAAGATTAAGAATCCCTTGACTCCTTCTAATTTTAGGCCCATTAGCCTATATCAAACCAATTATATGATAGTGGATACTATGTTAGTTAACAGATTGAAGAGGGGTATTTATAAGATGATTTCTGAAGAGCAAGCTGCCTTCATCCATGGAAGATCCATTCATGAACATTGTTTGTTAGCTCAGGAGATTTTCCATAAGTTAAACTCTCAAAGAACAAGAAGGGGTTGATGGCTGTAAAGCATGATATGGAGCAAGCATATGATAGCATGGGATGGACAACTCTTCAGCATATTTTAAGATGGTATGGTTTTCCTACTATTTTGTCTAATCTTCTCTTGGAATGTGTTATAGATGTGAGATTTTCAGTTATTATCAACAGGAAGAATTTTGAATTGATTAATGACCAGAGTGGATTCTGTCAGGGATGTCCACTTTCACCATACTTATTCATCATGTGTTTTCAATTGATTACAAATTCACTAGAGCAAAGGGGGAAGAGTCTTGGCATTCAAATTTCATGTAGAGGACCAAAGATCACGCATTTGCTTTATGCAGATGATGCTCTCATTTTTTCTCATGCATCTGTTGATCTTGCTAGAGTTATGAAGAACATTGTGGAGAAGTTCTGTATGTGGACTGGGCAAAAAATTAATGTTAATAAATCTCAGCTGTTGTTCGGCAAGGTGGTCAGTTATCATATGAAGAAGAGGATTGGCAGGGTTCTTGGCTTCAAGATAGTGAAGGAAATGAAGTACTTGGGAGTGAAAATATCACTTGATAGAATTACGATGGCTGATTACCAAGAGATTTTAAGCAATGCCCTGGATAGACTTAATGCTTGGAGTAGGAAGTCTTTATCTTTGGGAGGTAAATTGATTCTCATTGAAAGTTCTTTGCTTTCTATGACTAATTTTTTAATTACTCAGTCTTTGGTACCTAAGAGGTTATTACATGAGCTGGAAAAATTGTGTAGAAGCTTTATTTGGAATAATAGTGATGGAACCAAGGGGATGCACTATATTGCTTGGAGTGATATTTGCAAACCAAGGTGTTTGGGAGGATTGGGCTTGCATTCTCCTCTACATAGAATTGGGTCTTTAAGATCCAAAGTGACATGGAATTATATTCAGAAGCCTTATTCTTTGCTTCACTGTGTTATGAAGAATAAGTATGGTGATAAAGTGATGAATGGAGCTCAAAGGAACGTCAATTCAAATGCTTGGAAAATTCTGTTGGATGGTGGGAGTAATCTGAAGATGGTGGTTCGTTGGAAGGTGGGTAGAGGAAATAAAATCAGTATTTTAAATGACACATGGCTGCTTGATAGGTGTATTAATCGCTGGCCGACTTTTGCTGATTGCAATTTCCTGGATGGTATGAATGTGCAGCAGTTGATATTAACCAACAATATGTGGAATTCTGATTTTTTACAAAGGGCATTTCATTCGAACCATATTTCTTTAATTACTCAAATTCCAATTGAGCATGGTGAGGAGGACTAGATGGAGTTGATGAAGATGTGCTCGGGAAAGACTGTGTCTGCCTTGGTGTATGAATAGATGTGGCTCAACAGATGCAATTTGGAGAATGTGGAGTATTTCAGCTGGGTGAAGAATTTGAAGATGAATAAGAAAATTGAAATATTCTGGTGGAGGTTGGGTAAATCAGCTATTCCTACTAATATGTTCCTCATTAACCAAAAAAATTTAGATAATGCTTTTTGTGCTAGAGGATGCCAAGTTAATAAAACTTATGAGCATATTATGGTGCATTGCAAGTATTTGATTGAAATCATTATGAAGCTGAGGGAGTGGGGCTTTTTTATTCCTGTATTTCATTCACTGGATTGCTATTTAAAGGACCTAAAAAAGATGTCTACCAAGAATTATGGGATTGTTCGTTTGTATTGCTCTATTGTGTATTACTCTTGGAAGAACCAGAATGATATCAAGCATAGTAAGTCTGCTCTGCCATGCTTTATTATTGCTGCTAATGCCCTGTTTTTTGCAGTCTCCAAATCTGGTCCATTTCTCTCTAGCTGGGGTACTAATCTCCTTAGGGAGTCTCAAAGAACTTGGTACCCTCCACCGAAAGAATGGATTAAGGTTAATGTAGATACATCTTTGACAAGCTCTAATATGGCTGGCATTGGAGGAGTTTTATGTGACTACAAAGGACGATTTATTAGTGCCTTTGGAAAGAATGGAAATCATTGGGATATTGGTCATCTTGAGCTAGAAGCAGTCCTCACAGTTAAGGATTATTTGAGGAGCTGTATGTTGGAATGTAAAGGGCTAATCATAGAGAGTGATAATATCAATATTATCAAATTCAGAATTTTTTAAAGAAGAATAAGGAGAATGTGGATAATTGGCCGAACAAGAATTTATGTTTTTTGAATGATTTTAATAAAATTGTATTCCTCCATGCTTATAGAAGTTGTAATAAAGTAGCAAATTGTTGTGCTAATATGGCATTGGAGAGTAGTTTCTTTTTTGATAGCTTTTCTTTTGATAGCATTCCTACCTTGTTGTTAGGCTTAATCAAGGAGGAATGTGATCCTTTCATTACTTGTACTTAGCTTCCCTTTTTTGGTTTTAATGCAATGTGATGCATTTCCTTAAAAAAAAAAAAAAAAAAAAAAGAGAACTTCTCTAGTTTTCTCTTAGAGTAAAATCTAAGGGAGGCTAGGGAAGTACAAGTGAACCCTTAATTTTTTTAAAGAATTTTTTGACCTATAATAGTAAAAAAAATTTTGATGAGTCATTATAACTGTAAATCAGGAACCTTCTTCGACATAATATATATATTATTGTGTTTTAGCAACCCTAATTTTTTAATAAGTTTTTAACATTGGTGAAA